TATTATTTTACAGTGAAAGGGGGGAAAGCAGACTTTTAAGCATGATTATATTAGTCTACTAAACCTTATATCTGTTTTATGAAACCTAGGAAAGGAATTCTGAATGTTGAAATGTGTAAAAACTGAATAAAAATAAATTTTTAAAAAAGTGATTTAAATCACTGATTTTTATTTTAAAAATCAAGTTGATTTAAATTTAAAAAATCAACTTGATTTAAATCAACCCAACCCTGGTAGTATAATAACTTATCTCCTTTCTTTTCTTTAGCCTTAGTCACGTTCAACGAGAGGTCGGATCCAATGAGGAGAATAAGCTGATCCCGGCAACCTCGTTGAATGCGACACCCACTGTACTAAAAGTAAAAGCCACAAGCAAAGAAATCAGAGAAAAAAATCCAATATATAAAGTTGTAGTTTCAATTTATTATACTCGGTCAGACCTAAAAATTCATCAGTGTCATAGTTATATGAACTAAGTATATCATCTGTATAAAGCACAGACACAGCCAAACATTCAGATGGGAGGACCATAAGACCCACTAACGAGGCAAATTGGTTCCCCCTTCACACAAACAAACCAAACCTTAACACAATGCCATCTGTGTCGGTGGTGGTGGGGGGGGGGAAAAAAAAAGAAACTGTGCACATTGTAAACCCAAACACTACAGAATTCCCCACATCAATATGGACCCCCCCCAAAAAAAAATTAAATGTTGAAAACGCAAATAATAAACCAAACTTCACACTTAACACACTGAACCTAGACCAAAGTGTCATGGAGCAAACACTTGAGCCAGCCTCACAATCCACTTTGGTAGTGGAGTATTAACAGGGAGTCAATCAAATCTCTATCTGAAATATTCACTTTTCATCAATTCCCATGTTAATGTCGCATGATAAACAAAAACTAAAACTAAATGATGACTCGTTACTTATAAAATGTATACGTCTGAACTGTACATCAGTATTTTTCTCCTTTACCATTACAATTGGCTGGCTGTCTAGAGTATGGAACACTACTATTTCAACTGACTGTCAACTTTAGATGCAAACAATGCCCACATAATCTCTGAACCTATGTGGGAAGATCATCAATTAACTCCCAGTTTGCGCTTGAGCGATTCTGGCATCTCAGGGGGTGGGGGCCTGGGCAGACGGAAAGCCACCTTGACTGAATCATAGATGAACCACTGCAGGGCAGTCAGGGTACCGATCATGATAATCCTGGGAACCAGTCCCTTCCACATTCCTGTCACGAGGAGAAAAACAAACAAATATCACTGGGCAACAAAATTTTAACTTTTATCTGTAGCATTGCTGCATTGAGTGTAAAAATTGATTTATAGCAATTATGAGGTTGCTGAATCCAAAACTGATATCACATTCTGCGCTGTCAGGATCAAGTTTTTTCTCCGTGGCATAGCCACTATTTTTGCAGTATGCAGTGAGAACAAATACCAACCCTTTTCAGAGCAAGAAAACGTAAATTATGTGAGACGTATCAAAGCTTTTGTTACTCACATAAATTAAGTAAATCCTCAATTTGGCAATGGCAACAGGTACAACATTAAGAAGTAGTCATGTACTCAAGTTGGTGACAAAATGTTGGTGACAAACTTTCTTTTACTGGATTTCCCGGAGGGTGTTTTGTCGACTTGAACTGAACAGAACGAGATCTTTTGACCTCTTCTCTGATTGTTTGCCAAGTTTGAAGACGTCTTCATATAAATATCTAAACCCAAGCTCAAAGAGGGTAAAAATACTCTTTACTGCATCTGTCCCATATCAGTTTATTCAAAATTTCATTTACATTTTCAGGCTTTCCATGAAAACACCTTTTCAACAACTCCACATCAGCCAAATCTTTAAACACAAATAAATTTCACCATAGCATCAGGCAAGCCAATTTATACTTGTAAGCAGTCTGGTCTCTTTGAAAGCCGGACCAACTTTCTGGCCCTTGGTATAAAAATTTGTTGTTGTTCCGAAAACAACGTACAGAAGAATTATAACCTGGTTATTAACGTGTCGTACATGTAACGTCATAAAGGCAACCAGAAGCGGCAAATTTTGCCAACTTCCGTGACGTGTATGGTACGACAGAACTAAAAATTACACATTTTCATGACGTACAAGGCAACGAAGGGGTTAAACAAAATTACCACCCCTTACAATAGTGTGGAAAGACAAGTGGCATAACATGTAAAGAGCTCAAACGTTTTTACTTTAATGTTAGACAAGAAAAAGTTGTTATATATTCAACGGTTTACCTTTTCTGATGCTGAACTTTGCCGAAATGACAAACTCTATAATGTTTCATGATGTACACACTGTTGTGTAATAATGCAGATGCTGAAAACAGCATGAACACAATCCTAAAAGCACTCATTACAAATGCAAAAGAATAGTCCACCCATACTTAATAAATACTTGTACAAAAAAAAAAGGGGAAAGATGACAAAGGGACACAACAGAAACGTACCCATCAGACCAAGAGACTTGGCAATGTCAATGAAGTTGCTTCCCTTTTTCTGGTTCAGCTTGGACACAATGGTGTCAGCAGGGTGAGATACAATAGCACAGAAGACACCAGCTGCGGAGAGAGAAAAGGACAAATGAGTAGCCTGCACATCTTAAAATGACACCAGACACATGAACCTGAACCTTTTTCACCAATGCACATCACTGACTGCCAACCAACTTCTAATCTCTGTATTATTATTTTTTTTTGCAACCCACTTTCATTCCAACACAGTATACAGACCTGCCAGTCTTTGCCCCCCCCCTCTCATTCATGTATAGCTGGTTGGTCGGGAGTTTTTTTTTTACCTGCAATTTGATGGCGAACCTTTTGTGCCAAATTCCTCCTTTCTTTGTGGTTGGCAAATGCTCTGGTGTGGTTTGCTCCTTCGTTCCTATCAAACATCTGTCGTCTTTATCTCTCCTCCTCCTTTTTTGTATAAGTTACTCTCTTGTAACACAATCTATTCTTCGGCACTTATATGACTTTGTATTGCCATGAAACTTTATTAAAACTAAAACCTTTTTTTCATTCACCTTTTCTTTCGGTCTATCTTCGGATTGTTGCTGTGGCTGGAAATTCTGCGCTTTGATCAAGTAATTTGACTCACAAAATCACTGCCAGAAAGAAACTTGTTTCCGCAAATTTGTCTACATCTAGAGAAATTGTCATTGCAATGACTCTAGGGAGCGTGAAAAGGGCAGTTACATTTGTGCTAAAACTCACTAAAATCAAGAATGATTTGAAGTGGTGTTCTCAGGTTGTGACATTCGGCATTCAAACGTGAAAAAGGAGGAAAATTAGGGTATGTGCTTGGTAACTTGATACTCTATCGTCAAGGTTTATGTCTATTCATTATTCCCAGGTTTGCCTTCTGTCAATGGTGCAATGACAAATTAATTGAATTATAAAATAAAGTGACTTAGCAATGGCAAGGAGAACCTGTTTTTAACACATTACACCCTTACTCGCTCGCCCGCGACCGCCCGCAAATTCTCCTACGCGCTTCACCCTGACTCGACCAGAACCACCGCGCCGACCTAGCGTCTTTCGAAACAAAGCCTCGTCTTGGCGAGACTCTGGGGTCGAGATTTTGGTTTGCATAGTTATTGCAAAAAGTTTCTTCTTTAGTTTGGTACCGAAACGAAAACAAGCATATGACATATCAGATGACTCTGACTTAGATGAAAATGTTGTAGCAAGAGTTTAGGGCAATTCAGATTGATCAGACGTAGAAATCTAGCATTTAGATCTAGGGCCCGATCGCGAGACAGAGTGAGAGTGACGGGTCGGACACCCCGACTGAACTAAAGTTAGAACATTTCCAACAGTTTGCGCATAGGCCTACATAAAGTTATATTTTTCTGAAACTACATTCATTTTTCTTTTGAACTTTTATTTTTTCAGTATTTTAAAAATTTGTTTTGTATTTTTTTAATGAGTTTTTTAAACGCTTGTATTTACGGGAGGTGGGTTCCTTCCCCTTGCTTAGGATCTAACAACAATGGACCTCCCGTCAAGACTCTTAGGGTGTAATGTGTTAAACATTGCCAGCAATGGAAAAATTTGTAGATGGAGAAATCAACCAGCTATAAATACATAGCGGGATAATGGCCGATTGCAGGAAATGCGCAATCTGGCTGGTTTCTATAAACATTAACTTTTTGGCGAGAGTTACTGTAAATATCCGCAACTTATCAGAGCTTCCAGTAGCTGATGTCATTCTTCGAGGATTTTCGGGTCCAGGGCAGTGTCAAAGGGGGGCAGCTTTTTTTTTTTGTTTCAGGGCACCCTAAATATGCCATTTTTTGCTTAGCAATGCCAATCGGGCGGCAAAATTTGGTCCCCGTTTGTGGGTGAATTTTTGGACCGGGTCAGAACGATAGTGACAAACTTTCTCGAGCTTGTTCTGCACTATTTCTGGACCAATGTGAATGAAACTTGGCAACCAATTAGGCAAACTAATGATATGTGGAAGTCGAAGTTCGTACTCATAAATTTACAATACTTTTGATGTCGGAAACACTTTCGTATCGGGTACACCGAAAACTATAAGGAGTCCGATATTCGGCGTCGAGATGGTAAGAGATCCATCTTTCCCTATAGGGTGTTCAAATTTGAACCTTATGTGTCAAGTGTGTGGGCAGAATTTATAAATGCACGACTACCCCCTGTCCAAAGCGGCTTCGCACGGAGACCGCCCATTTTCCCCTTATTCCCTATGCAAATATCTGTGACCTACAAATCCCTGCATGACTATTCCGAGCCCGTTCATTGGTCACTTGAAATAGGGCAATGGTGGCCGTGCGAATCCAGTTGTTTTTCTCTCTGTTCCCCTTTAAAATCGCAATTGGGGGGTATTCCGAGGCCATCTTATCTCGCCTCGGGGTGTTCGCGTCTCAACGGGAAAAGAGGGTTTTAATTAAACGGCATGCCAGATTAAATTGAATTATATTTTATGGTTGGCACTGTCTAAAGTCATTAAAGAAAGCTTTGTCATTATTTAATCACGCTGCCAACATATTATTAAAGATCCCATGTTGTGATACAATGCTATAAATAAAATGGACTCATCCCGACACCCCTTTATTGCAAAATCGTAATATGTACACCAAAATTTTAATTATAACAAAATAACTACGACATGGTTAGTAAATCTGATTAAGAAAATTAAATGATTTCTCCACCCAAAAACACATCAGGTAGCCAAGTTTCTTTCTAACACTCCGATTAATTACTGAGATATCGCCGATTATCTTACAGAATCTGCTACTGCGTGGCTCACTGTTTAGGAGTATTTTCCTATACGTGGGTCATCCATAGTTTGCCGACCTTTGCAACCCAATAACTTTTTTATTTATGAACCGTTTCTTAAAATTCAAGAAGCATCATTCTATCTTAGGTACCAAATAAAAAAGGGCTAAAGCGAAAAATTAAATTTTCATTGGCATTGTTATTTTGCTAATCAAGCCTAAATTTAACAGTGCTTCCACCAGCTGAAGCTGAAAAGTAAGGAAAATTCTGCCGCGGGTCTAGGCCCCCAGCAGGGTCCAGGGGGCGAAGCCCCCAAAGAAATTGAAATTCAGTGCTTTTAGAGGTTTGAAAATGGCATTTGGGAACCTGTTTGAAAAAAGTACCCACAAACCATAACATTTATTTTTTCACAATCATTTTGTCTTGTTTGATTTCTTCACCAAGATCTGCATAACATATTTCCATTGATGGCAATGTTTAAAAGCAGGTTCCCCTTCCATTGCTACTATAATTCAATTAATTTGTCATCGCACCATTGATAGAAGGCAAACCGGGGAATAATGAATAAGATATCGTCGGCCTGGTGATAAAACCGACTAACCCACAAAATGTCCAAAAAAATTTTATTGGCCCTATCCATAGCAAATTGTCCATTTCATATGCTCACTTAAAGTCAGATCTAAATTTAGTCTAGAAATGTCTTTAAAACATTAGAAATAAAACCGTATAACCCAGCACCCATCGGATTTTAGCCTGATGTTTCCAACTATCCAACCTGCGAGGGAGGGAATGAGGGTTGACTGTTTTTGTCGCGCTGACAATGAGGGGCCACGTGCTTAGTTACCGACTAACCCCAGCTTCGACTCGTCTCCGGACTTTGTTTGATAGTCCAGAATTCGCTCACGTAACCGTGTGAGCTCTTCAAAAGGGAAATTTGTGGAATATTTCTTGTTGGTTTAATTTGGGAGTTATATAGATCTGTTGGTTCCGTCTTTTTTCTTCGTTTTAATGCTGCTGATAATGTTATTAATGACTAAAACTCCCCACTGTTCCCACAGAACTGTTTATCTCGTGACAAGACAATGCCGATATTTCAAACGCATCTTTAAGGATTTCGTTTTATATGAAACTATTTTTTTCTGTCCACGTGTTCTTCTTTGTCTTTGCACTTAAAAGTTACCAAATTATGAAGGCATTTCCCCTTTTTCGGACTACTGTCTCTTCTCCTTACCATTTTTCCATCGCAATTGAATGGATGAAGTCGGTAGCTTTTCATTCTTTACTAACTCACTCAGAAAAAAAAATGTGGGACCTGTCCAGCATACCGTCTGCCACCAACGATGGTTGTTTTTTAAAGTGCTTTTCCTTTTTTTTTTTTTTTTTTTTTTTCATTTGCAGAGTTTATTGCAGTCATTACCTTCTGAAACATCTTTCGACTTTCTTTGAAAGTTCATTTCGTTTGTGTTTTGTGTAGATTATTTTCTCAGTGTCATAACATAATGCTTTATCTTTATATCAAACCTTAACTTACATAACGCTATATCATTTCATCATATGATGCCACTCTTGCTGCGTCACCTGACCCTCAGCGCAGTGGAAAGTGATCAACGTGACCAGGCTAATGTCACATCAGCTGATAATACAACAGTTAAGTCACCTTTGATCTCTGCGAAAAGGACACGGCATGAAAACGATTGAAAGGGTAACAAAAGGAAAAGGTTGAAAGAACTGGGGATGCCTCTACACGTCATGTCAAGGCACGAAGCGAGCAGGGTGTGAACTCAACGTCCTTTGCAGTTGTAAACTGGTTGGTACAAAATGCCATGACATCATTCATCACTCTCTTGGAAAGAAGAGAGAGCCTACGTATATGCCACGAAAAACATGATAGACAAAAAGAGATCTTACACAGCAAGTGAAAATCCAAGGAGAAATTACACTTACAAGAGTCAATGGTCAAAGAACACCTGTTTGTAAAACAATCTTCATGAACACCACAGGCCTGACCCACTGGTTTATTTAAAGTGTCTTCCCCGAAAAAAAAAACAAGAGGTGTGTCCCCCCCCCCCCCCCCCGAACACATCACGCCCACCATGAGAGAGCCAAGGATGACAAGTTGTTCCATAAAGAGGAATTTTTTTACAAACTTTCGAAGATATCCTCCTGTCTACAGATGACAATCCAGAAAACGTCAGATCTGCATCAAGTATACATGGAGAACTTTGCAGAGGGGGTGAAAGCCACATTGAGCTATCAAGTGTTCTGCCAAAAGTTAAAGAAAAACAATTTGGGTTTACTTTCTACCAAGAAAGACCAGTGCGACATTTGTACCAGCTTCAAATCTGGAAACCTCACAGAAACAGAATACACAGCTCATCAAATATGAATTTGAGTAAAGCTGCAGCTAGACCAGAGAAGGAGAAGGACAGGGAGGCTGCACTGAACCCAGAGAACAATGTGTGTGTCCTTTGTATGGAGATTCAGTGCGTCCTTCATCACTAAAGACACCCACCTTATATTATAAAACAAAACTGGCTGTACACAATTTTACGATTTAGGATCTTGCTACCAGAGACGCCAGATGATATGTCTGGTATGAAAGTGAAGTTGGTCTGAGCTTCAACAGTTTTCATCATGTCTGACTCACTAACTGATATTGCAAGTGACTGACTTCAACCACTTCATCATCTGCAGTGATTGGTGCAACTACTAAAACAGAAAGCCACCCTGGTGAGTGCCATGGCCTCGCTGGCCAAAGAGCTTGACATCAGAGTTGAGCAGAAATTCTCCCTAAGGGCCATACCCAAATGGAAGTGGATTCAGTCCATGGCACTATTGAGCGATCGCTAAAAAACGCACCGATGTACATCCCAATGGACTACGTGAACATCATGCTCAAAGCCAGACGCATTCCCAGGCCCTATGAAGTTATGTACCTGGCCCACAGCTTTTTCAAAGATTTCGCAAAGGTCGGAGAGCACTAAACAATCCGTCCAGGGAGAAAAGCAGGCGACCCTACTGTCAGTGACTTGCAGGCATCAAAGTACACTCCAGTCTTTAAAATTCAGTACAAGCTGAACTTTGATGATGGATAGCAGGCGCTGCAAGGACCAAGAAATCTGAACACCCTGTGTACGACGGTTACTGCTGGACCTCTCTGCAAAGACAGATTGAAGATAACTGTCAACCAGTATAAACATCTACTGGAGTTGAAGGCCGTCGTACCACGATGCTACCACAATTACCATGAAAATTTGCCTCAATAAGAAGTTTTGAAAGCAATCAAGTCAAATTCGATTATTGTAGAGTCTTTCAAAACAATGATAACTTTTGTCGTATTGCCTTGTTGTAGCCATAGGACACAGAGCGAGACAGACATGCTCTTGTATCGTCGAGAAAACTCAATAAAGTAGTAGTTGTCAAGCCACGCACCTTGAAGAAAGTTGGCGCATTCTTTGTTACTCACAGTGTCTTTTTGTATAATAATATGTAACCAACTTCACCCAAACCATTGCAAAGGTAGCAGAGCTTTTGTGTGGCTTTCTACTTTCATTTTTCTTAGTATTACCTTTTTCCAGGCCTTTGAATGGCGACCTAGTGCCAATAGTACCGTCTCAGACACTGTCATAAATTCTAAAGGCCTGCTGCTGCTGCTACTACTGTTGTTTTTGTTGTTGTAGTTGTTGTTTTTGTAGTTGTTGCTGTAGCTGCTCTCCCTTACCCTTCAAACCTCCTGTTCTTCTACTTCAAATGTAATTAATACACCCATTGCTGTGTTCTGCTTCTTCTACTTCTATTAAATGTTCAACTTTGGGACTGCTGTTTTTGCCCGAATTGAATCCGTAGCTATGAAATGGCAGCAGCTGATAGTATGTTTGTAGCAATAATAGAGTCTTCCTCCTCTTCCTTTTTCTTCTTCTTACTCCTCCTCTTTTTTTCTCCTTATCCTCCTCCTTCTCACCCTCTTCCTCCTCCCCCTCCTCCTCCTCCTCGATCAAATACGTTACCGTCAAGTGTGGTTTGGCTGAATTCAACCAAACTCAAGCCCAGCAGTAGCTTCCTGATAAAATCAGTCAACCCACAAAATTGAGAGTTGGTTGGTTTTATCCAGGAAAATTTGAGCGACATAACCATCTAATCCACGCAGTTTCATTAAAAGCAATTTTTAAAGGAAAAAAAGGTCTACAGTTTTTCGGTAAAGTGTTTTTATAGGTGTTTAAAGCATTGATTTATCGTTAGACGCCTTTGTTTTGAAATTAAACAGTTTATTCCTTCTCCTGCAAAATTTACCTCGCTGGGGTTAGTCGGTTTTATCATAAGGCCGACAATATGTACCTTCACAATACAGTTACCCCGCGTATACCCTAATTTTCCTTAAATTTCACGCCTGAATGTCGCTTGTCACAACCTCGGAAAACCACTTCGAATTATTCTTGACTTAAGTAGTTTTAGGTTAGTTTTAGCATAAATTTCTTTCATCGCGGCCCCTATAGCGTTCCCGTGCCGTAGAATCTCCGTATTGATCATTTCTCTAGATCTAGACAAATTTGTACAAAAGTTTCTTTCTAACAGTAATTTTCTGTCTAAGTTCACAAGTCAATTTACTTGATCAACGCGCAGATTTTCCAGCCGCGGCAACAATCCGAAGATAGACAGAAGGAATGAGTGAATGATAGAAAGGAGGAAATTGGCACAAAACATTCGCCAGATTTCGATCAATCCACAGGTAAAAATGTACTGCCGACAAGCCCGCAATGAATGCAAGGGGCTAGCGGAATAATGGCCGATTGCAGGAAATGCTCAATCTGGCAGGTTTCTATAACATTAACTTGTGGCCGAGAGAATTACCGTAAAAATCCGTAACTTATACTAGTACTAGACGGTACAAAGGCGAGTACAGATCTTTTGCTACGGAATTTCGGTAATCCTACGCTGTCGCAGCGGACGGAGTTGATAATGATGCAGGAACAAGTACGGAACTGGCAGAAAGTACGGATTTCCGTAAAAATACGGAAGAGTGGAAGCACTGTTTTAACAATAAAGTAAGTGGAAAAAAAAACGTAACTTGCATACATCGTTTTCTGCTTATGTTGATCCATATAAATCCCAGGCCACGCTTTCTCCCTTGTACCAGTACTGTACATCCATAATAGTATAACAGCTAGGTCTATAAAACTTGACAGTTATAGTTCAACTTTTTTTCTGCTTATGTTGTGTGGTACCCGTATAGTCCAAGGCCATGTTGTTCTCCCTTGTGCTGTTGTTCCCCCAAGAGTATAAAAGCTAGATCTAAATAACTTGACAGTTAATGTTCAACTTAAATCCACAACATAATTTTTTCAAATAACAAGTCTGATAAAAAAATCAAACTCTCTTGAGACATTCCTTTTCTTGGCAGGCCCAAGATCTATTGAACCACATTTCTTCCTCTTGTTTACAGTGCTGGTGCTCTGCTTGCTTGTGCTTTAGAAGTGACAGACACTGTCTACACCTTCAGATTATAAAAGAGCACTTCCAGTATGAGTTGGCTATTGTTGACTTAGTAATTCCGGAATTCGCATTTTTAAAAATAATATAATTTTTAATTATTTTTTTAAAACACAAATTTTTGCGGAAATTTTTCTATTTGCCGAAAACTGGAAGCACTGACTTTTACAAGACAACATGAAAGCGATCACGGATCCTTTGCAACGGAATTTCGGTAGCCCTAGGCTATCGTATTTTTTACAGATGAAATTGGTTATGATAGGGGAGCACGGACCTATCAGTACAGATTTGCGTAAAAATACTGAAGATTGTAAGCACTGCTCCACTACACATATTCACCCAAAGCAGACAAAGAAAATATACTAATCCTCACTAATAACACAAAATGATCAATACAGAAAACTGGACACACATTTGACTAATCACAACATGTAAACATGTATATCATCAGAAATAACAAACACTTGGGTGAATCGGCCTAAATCCCCCCTTACTCACATAGCACAATCTACTTTATTTTTAAAATGCTGAGCATTATCACTGAGAACACACATACCAATGTAACCGGCGGCAAATGTGACAACAAGCTGCTCTCCCTTGGTGCACTCTGAACGTGGCTTTGGTACCACATTCTTGTACAAAAGCTCGACTGTGCGTTCAAAGCAAGCAAACTTCATCATTGTGTATGGGATCTGACGGGCCCACAGTGGAACAAGGCCTTTGTAGAACCTGTAACAAGAAGCACAAATCACATTAATAACAAACACAAGAATCTTTTTTTTTTAATCCTCCAAGTACCCAATACAATGTGCTGTGGTGTCAAGGCTATTTAAAAGAATTTATTTAGAATAAGGATAAGAAAATAAAGAACAGCAATAGAAGACAGCAAATGAGGTACTGATAACTATACATTTTCTGAAAGCTTTTGAGTCGAATATTCTTACATTACTGCGGGGAAAAAAAATAAATGTTCAGTGACCGTGATCTTCTGTCATTGACAATGAATATCAGATCATTTTGTTTACAAATGTGTCACTATATCCCTCAGTGTATTTTTTATGAATATGCAGTGAGTCCATGAATCCCGAATATGAAAATCATGAATTCTCGGGTACCTTGAACATAATGCTTGGTCCCGTTTCAGTGCTTATGTTATCTTTGTATTGACTTCACGGAGTTCCTGAACACTCGGAACATGCAACACTTGAGTCTCGAACAAATCCACTTCGCATTCTCAACTAAAGACCTGGCTATACAGCCTTTCTGGCCGCGGGTAGGTGTTTCTTTGTTTCTGTTACAGCCAAAACATGGGCCTCGTCTCACTAAGAGAAGCTGGAAGAAGGGGGGACGAGGAGTGATGCAGACCGAACCGCATGACTGGCTCGCCACGTGTGCAATCATGGTGTGGGTCGCGCGTGGTGCAGATGACAAGAGGCATAACTTTCTGTAAGCCAATGAAATGAGAAGAAAGGAATGGCGTAGGAGTCAGCTGAGCACACGTGAGATCTTCTGCTGTCCACATTCATTCATCTTCTTGCTTTCACACCGTCAACACATTCATCGAGGGAGCTAACCATGTTAATTGTTTTAACGTTCTTTTTTACCTCCCTTGATTTTCTCTATTTCTTTGTATTTGGGGCTTTCGATTTTATTGATTGGGTAGATGTTTTACGTACTATCGACACAATTTGGTCATTTAAGCGCCATCAGGTTTCACCGCTACAAAATCAGACGTGTTTTTAGTAAGAGTCTTTCGGAGCTCGCAACCGCAAACGATCACACTATTTCCATTATGCTAAAAAGACGAACAAACATTTATTTTAAAAAAAATTTTTGGTAAATATGGAAAAGGCTTATTTACATTTGTATATATACAATATAAATTTCAGTGTATGTATATATACACCGTATGTATATATACACCGATAACAATGACTATATATATTCATATTCTATTAAATAGTCCAATTTCTTTTATATAACTTAAAATTTTTCTAGGCTCTATGATGTCAAAAAGGGTCTTAATATCTTTACATTTAAAATATTTCTCACGAACATAATTAAATTCGACACATTCCGTTAGGATGTGCCGAACTGTGAAATTTGTGTTGCACGCCACGCAAAAAGGAGCTTCCTCTCCTTCGAGCAAATGTTTGTGCGTGACGTGCGTGTGTCCTATTTTTAGTCGGGTAAAAATTACTTTTTCTCTTCGTGGTAGAGAGAGTGGTTTCCTGGGCGTAAGTTTCGGTTGAATGTAATGGAGTATGTTGTGTACTTGTTGATTCCAAATTTGGGACCAGGAGGATGTGATGTGTTCTTTTACTTTCGGTTTCATGTCAGAGAAAGGGATTTTACTATTTTTGTTTTCAGGTAGTTTTAGAGATTCTTTGGCAAATTGGTCAACGGCTTCGTTGCCATCAATGCCTACATGGCTTGGAAGCCAAGCTATTGTAATAGTTTTTCCAGACTGATGTAGAAAATGCAGTTTAATGATAAGTTTTAAAATTCTGTTGTCGGAGGTGTCAGAGTGCTCTAAAGATTTCAGACAAGAGAGAGAGTCTGAAAGGATTAGGAAGGTAGACTTGGTTGATTGATCTATAATATTTAGGGCCATTTCAAGAGCTGTAGCCTCAGCAGTGAAGACTGAAGCTTCTGGGTGGAGTTTCCTTAAGCTTAAGCTGTGTGGCGATGCAAGGGCAGCAGCTCCTACTTAGGAGTCATTTTTGGATCCGTCTGTAAAAAGTTTCTTTGCTTCAGGGTATCTATTTATTAACTGTTTGTATGAGTTTGAGTATGTAGTTTTTTCTGTAGACTTTTCGTTGTGTTTTCAAGACTAGTATCTATGTTTGGTATTGTTAAATGCCATGGAGGTATGCTGGACATGGCAAAGGGCTCGATTATGTCTTCAGAAAAATCAATGTCTTTGAGATCGTTCTGGATTCTTATTCCGAAAGGGCTTACTTTATTTCCTAAGGAGGATAGAGTTTTTAGATCTTCGGGAAGGCCAAAGACACATTTGTGGGCTGGGTTTTGGGGTACTGAGCTAAGTTTCAAAGCATACTGCAAAGAGAGTTTTTTCCTTTTAAGTTCTAAAGCTGGTTCATGCGCTTCTGCCTGTAAACTTTCTACAGGTGAAGTACGGAAAGCACCTAGGATTGTTTTGAAGGGTTTTTGTGATGGAATTGATTTTGATTTAAAAAAGAATGGGCGATAAGATGCTTCCCTGGGGGACGCCTTCTTCTTGGGTGTGTAAATTTGATAGGGTTGAACCTACTTGTACTTGAAATGATCGATCTTTCAAAAAGTTTCTTATAAATTCGGGAAGATTTCTGCGTAAGCCCAAGTCATGCAGGTCTTTTAAAATACCATGTTTCCATGTAGTGTCGAAGGCTTTTTCTAAGTCGAAAAAAATAGCCACACGGTGCTCTTTTCGAATGAAAGCTTCCCGAATGAAAGTTTCAAGTCGGACGAGATGGTCAATAGTAGAGCGATTTTTGCGAAAACCGCATTGAAAATTGGATAAGGAGTTTGAGGTTTCGAGAAACCACATTAGACGTTTGTTAATAAGTTTTTCCATAAGTTTACAGAAACAGTTTGTAAGGGCTATGGGACGGTAGTTTGAAGGGTTAGAGTGATCTTTTCCTGGTTTTGGGATTGGTATAACAGTGGCAAGACGCCAACTGTTCGGAAATTGTTGAGAATGCCAGAGTTCATTGTAAATATCAAGGAGTAATAGGAGTGTTTCGTCTGGAAGACGTTTGATGATTTCGTTCTGTATTTGATCAGGGCCTGGAGCTGTGTTTGATAGTTCTGCAATATTACATTTTAATTCATTAAGAGAAAAGCTGCAATTATAGTTTTCTTCATTTGAAGAGGTAAAATCAACAGTTGTTTTTTCAGAAGACATTTTTACTTTTTTGAATTCAGGGTTGTAATTGTGGGTAGAGGAATTTCCGGAGAGAGTTGATGCTATACAGTCAGCAACTGTTTTTTCGGTTTCTACGAAGGAGTTATTCGGTTTTAGGATGTGTTTGTGTCTTTTTTAGTACCTTTTAATTTCTTTATCATCTTCCAGACTTTGTGCATTGGTGTGTTGTTGTTGATTTTTGAGACATAATTTCGAAAAGATGTTTTCTTGGCTGTTCTGATTTTTCTGCGTGCTTGGGCTCGCGCAATTTTGAAATTAATGAGGTCTTCGTTAGTTTTAGAGTTGACGAACTTCCTGAGAGCTGATTTTTTGGCCGCAACAGCTTTTTGGCAGTCTTCAGTGAACCAACATTTATTTTTTCGGGGTTTGGTGGACAATTTTGGTATGTGTTTTTGAACGATTTCGAGAAGGGTTTCATGAAATCGTTCAAAAGTTTGTGTTTGTGTTTGAGATGGATTGAGTTTCTCCAGACATTCCATGTGAAACCCATCCCAGTCCGCTCTTTTAAGATTGAAACGGTCCGGGATAGGAGTTCGGTGTGGAATGTCTGAAATTAGGGTGATGGGAAAGTGGTCCGATCCGTGTGGGTCGTCCAGGACCGACCACTGAAAGTCTGGAATTAGGTCAGGATCACATAGGGTTAAATCTATGGATGAAAAGTTTAGGTTATTTGAATTTTGAAATGTTGGGGAATTGTCGTTAAAAACACTAGTATTGGTTTTTATTAAGAAACCTTCTATGATTTTACCTTCAGTATCAGTTGGTTCATTTCCCCCAAGAGGGCTATGGGCATTAAAATCTCCCAACATGAATTGTTGTGGGAGCTGGTCTCTGAGGTTTATTAGTTCTCTTAAATTGTTTGTTCAGTATAGGGTTTTACGGCGCTCGCAACTGCATAAGGTCATATGAGCGCGCGGGACACACCTAATACTTTTTCGTTGGTAGGAAATTTTGAATTTTGCCCGGGTGGCGGCCGAAGCCTACTCTTATCGATTTTAGACCACCAAGGGATCTTTAACGTGCGCAACTTGCACACGGGCCCTCCGAGATTTTTCGCCCTTGTCCGAGAAGGCTAGGTGTAGATCTTTCCTACCAGAAGATCAGGGGTGTGGCAGAAAGACAGCAGTTAGGAGTAGCCAAGGAGTAGCAGTAGAAAGGCTGCAGAAAGAGTCAGGAGCCCAGAGGAGGTGGCAAAGGAGGTGAGGGGGTGGGGGCAGAAAGTGGAAATGAAAGCAGACAACAGAACATTGCTAGAGATCAGGAAAGGATGTGAAAGGAGACAATTTTAGAGAAGAAAATGTTTTGGTCGCTACCCGGAATCGAACCCGGGACCTTTGAATGAGAGGCCAACACCTTACCTCTAGGCCACGAGAGCCCCCGTTCTCTTAAAGATAGAGGATAATTTGGAGGGATGTATATTGAACAGATAGTTATAGGACGGCGTAGGGTGACCCTGACCGTAACTGCTTGAGGTGTTGTGTTTAGTTGTATTTGTCAGTGTAGTGTTTGGTTATTTATTAAAATGGAGTTGCCCCCAGAGGCGATTTGGTTGTCGGTGTATATTTGGTTGTAAGTTTGATAGTTTTTTAATGTGAATGTGGGTGTTGGCAATTTAGTTTCTTGTAGACAGATTACATTTGGGGTGTGTGAGGTCAAAAGATAAGAGAGTTCTGTCTGGTTTGCACGCAAACCGCAAATGTTCCACTGAAGAACTGCCATTTTAATTTATTTTGAAGGCACGGGTTCGATACATTTTTTTTTTTGGTCGTTGGTGACCTTTGTCTTTGTTTTGTTTTGCTGCGGTCACGGTGGACCGCAGCCTTTTTTGAGGGAGAGTGTGGAGGGGGAGGAGGACCGGAGTCCTGGATGCGGGTAGAGGAGGGGGAGCGGGTGCGGGGAGTGGGTGGAGGGGCTTTATTGGATGAAGGATGATGGGATGGAGGTGATGATGGAGGTGAAGATGAAGATGTAGTTGGCGGTGGGGATGAAGATGAGCGTGGTGAGGATGAGGATGTGGATGAGGATGATGTATGTGAGGATGAAGATGGTGGTGAGGATGAGGATGGTTGTGATGATGAAGGTAGAGATGGTGAGGGTTTTGGGGGTGAAGATGTTGAGAGAGGTTTTGGAGGGGATGTGTGAAGGGAGAGCTCCATGTCCTCCTCCTGGTTATCGTGGCGCTTTTGGGTTTTTTTATTTTTATTGGTTGTACGTGGCGTTTTCACGGTTTGGAATTTTTCTTTTTCGTTGTCAGCGGTTCTGGGGCCTGCCTTGGCAGCGTCTGCGTAAGTTGTTTTCTGTGTTGATTCCAATCCCATCGGGAAGACGGCTGCCTTAGCCTGGGCAAAGGTGCCTCCGAACTTCGCTCGGTGGGTTAGGATGGCCTTTTCTTGAGAGTACTTGGGACATTC